AGGAGCCAGCACAGGGGGGCCAAGTCCTTGTAAGTGATGCAATTCCTGAAGGAGGCTCAGAGCAGCCAGATGAGAGATTCAGATTAGGAATTTACCCCAAAAAGGCCTTAAAATGGAATAAAATAAGAGTGATATTTACAAAGTACCAAAAGCATAGTATCTGTCACACTGTATGTGTTCAAGGTGGCTGTCATCATTGTTGAGTCACGGCACCTTAGACTGTATTCCTGACTTTGTCCTTAACATTAGAATATTGAATTTGAAAGGAGTATTTTGGGAAATATTAGAAATTCAGAACTGAGCCAGTAGAATTAGCCAAGTGAAAGAAAAGGAGAGCATAGAGCTGAAAAAACCATTCCCATAAATCCCACCCACCTTAGATTGGCATTTCACGTGTATTCTTTCTGAACCCCACCAGCAAACCTGTGAGATAGGTCAGGTGGTGTGATGAGGTTAAAAGGCTAGGTAAAGATGGTGCGTATTGGAGCTGCTGTGGAACTGAGGGCTTCTGCCTGTCTCTTCCACACTGCTGTTTCTGCGGGAGCCAAAACAGCAGACTTCTAAGGAGCTCCTGGCAAACCAAAACGTGGTGAGTTTCAAGCAGCTGCCCTTGTGATGTCCTCTATACCTAGGCTATAGTGTGGGGGTTAGGAACAGGCACTCTGGAGCCAGAATCCCAGCTTGAATCCCAGCTCTACAGCTTAACTGCTGGGTGGCGTTAGGCAAATTATTAACTCCTCTGTGCCTCAGTTTCCTCACCTATACAGAGGGATAGTAACATTACCTACTTCATAAGATAGGTACTTTATTTTTTTTTTTTAAAGATTTTATTTATTTGACAGAGACATAGCGAGAGAGGGAACACAAGCAGGGGGATTGGGAGAGGGAGAAGCAGGCTTCCCGCCAAGCAGGGAGCCCAGTGCGGGGCTCAATCCCAGGACCCTGGGATCATGACCTGAGCCGAAGGCAGACGCTTAACGACTGAGCCACCCAGGCACCCCAAGATAGGTACTTTAAGTAAAAATGCTTTAAATAGGCTGACCTATAGTAAGCACTTAAAACTTAGCTGTGATCATGATGATCTCCCTTGGGCAGCCAAACCAAATTATTTTATTTTTTTTATAAAGATTTATTTATCGGGGTGCCTTGGTGTCAAGAGTCAGACGCTCAACTGACTGAGCCACCCAGGCGCCCCAGGACCAAATTATTTAAAAAGGAGAAACTATAACAATAAAAGCTAGTGTCTCCTTAGTGTCTACTACTTGCCAGGAACTGCACTAGGCACTTTGTGCATCATCTCCTCCGACTCTCCCAACTACCATGGGGACAGGAATTTGTGTTCTCATTTTATAAACAGGGAAATTGAAGCTCAGAAACTTTAAATCACTTGACCAAGGTCACTCAACCAATATGTAGCTAAGCCAGGATTTGAAGCTAGGAATGTCTGACTCTAAAGGTATGAAAAAACTTCCGGTTTTTATGTTTCTTATTCACACCCCACTGACACCAATACTGTCATCTTACAAAGGGGGACAAGGGAGCCAAGTGGCTAGCCACTGGGATAGTATCCAAGTTTTCTGAAACCTATCAAGGACTCTTGCCTAGGATGGACTGTAGCTGTTCCCAGAGAAAGCTGGAGTTGGAGAAATGGCTGGTTGCACGTGGGTATCCTCCCCACCCTCCCTGCACCCACACAGCCCAGCCATGCTTGGAAGCCTGATAACTGGGTACTCTCCCCTAGAGTGACTGCACCAAGTTGTTCAGCCAGGGCATTGGAGGGGAGCAGGCCCAGGCCAAGTTTGACAGCTGCCTTTCTGACTTAGCTGCCGTGTCCAGCAAATTCCGAGACCTCTTGCAGGTAAGCCCCAGGATCAGTTGCTGACTGAATCCTGTGCCTGTGTGTTGCTCTGAGAATATTGTTACTGGTTTATTACAGGATCAGTGTATATAAGGAAACAAGGAGAAATGAGGGGGTAGCATGCAAGACACTGAACTAGAGTCCCTTTAAGATTAAAGGTTTTTCAGCAGTTATCATGCTGACAAGCCAGCATTTTGGTCCTCTTGAGTCTCCACTTGGCCCCCAGTGCCAAGAGCCCAGAAAGGTGCTCAGATGGAATGGAACCACATGGTTACTCAGACCTGCTGCTTGGCCTTAGCCAAAGGTGCTGCCTACTATCAGGCACTCAGAAATCTCTTTTTTTGAGTCTGCCAAACCAACCCCATAGCCTGGACCTGAATTGGCACAGATCTGGAAAGGAACAGGTTGTTTCTGACCCCTTCGATTAGCATTTTCTGGTAGACTTTGGACAGGTCCACGGGAAAGCCTGAGAACTGGAAGAATGCCCTGGCAGTCACGGGATGGGTGGAGCAGAAGAAAGGAAGGGCAAGGTACACCCGTCTTTGTCTCATGTGTTTCTGCCTTGTCCCGCAGGAAGGGCTTACAGAGCTAAACAGCACAGCCATCAAGCCGCAGGTGCAGCCTTGGATCAACACCTTCTTATCTGTCTCCCACAACATCGAGGAGGTCAGCCTGACCATAGGCAGCCATCAGGCCCAGGATTACTCCTCATTCTCCCAACCCCCCCACTGGAGGGCAGTGGAGCTGTGTGCACAGACCAGCCCTTCCCTGCTTCTCTGGAGGGAAGTTCCATGGAAGTATAATATACTTCTATGGATGTGAATTTCAGTCCCTCCCCGTGGAAGACTAGGTTCTTCCCAGGCAACAGGTTGTTCCTGCAGACAGAAGGGCTCTGAAAGACACCTGTAGGGGGTTTGCCCTGACCTGACACATCCTCTTTTATTGAGACTCTTTGCCCCACCTATCAGACTTAGGAGCTTTTTTTCTAGCCTAATGATGTCATTCCTGCAGAACATGAGATGCAAAAGGAAATAAAAGGCCAGGAGCTTTACCATATTGTGTGGGCCGCTGCTGCAGCCCAGGGCCATTTCCTGATTGGAAGTGTGGTATAAAATCACCAGCGGCATACGCCAGCTTGGACGTCCAAGCTGCTTTTAAGCTAGATGAGTCAGAAGCTAGAGAGGAAAGGCCTCTTCCTCTGTTGTTTTAGAGGGGTGAAAGTGGGGTAGGGTGAATGGTACTTTCTGGAGACACCCCCAGTGACCCAGCTTGTTTCCTGACAATAGGAAGAGTTCAACGACTATGAGGCCAATGACCCTTGGGTACAACAGTTCATCCTTAACCTGGAGCAACAAATGGCGGAGTTCAAGGTGAGCAGGAACTTAGAGACCAGGTTATGGAATTACCCACCTCTGCCCAAATCAGCAGCCTTTGGCTTCTCATCACACCCTACTGGGAACCCCCAAAACTCTTCCAGGCCCCAGCCTGTAGACATACTCCCCCAACAGCCTCCTATAACTGTGCCTACCCCCCGAAGACTCCTGTTGGAGGCAGAGGGGCTTAGGTAGGACTCTCACTAATGTCTAGCCTCTGTGTGCAGGCCAGCCTGTCCCCAGTCATCTATGACAGCCTGACCGGCCTCATGACCAGCCTTGTTGCTGTCGAGTTGGAGAGAGTGGTGCTGAAATCCACCTTTAACCGGGTAAGGTCCAGGGAGTACAGGTCCCCAGCTCTGTTGTTTTTCCTCCGAGGAAGACAAGTCCTAGCCCTCCTAGGACTTGCATCCCCTCCATCTGCTGCCCACAGGCCCTGCATATCTAGCCCCAGTCCTGCCCTGGCATCTGAGGCCTTGGAGCTGACTGAGGCACCACATGAGGGCCAGGCCTTGAACACTGACTGAGCCTGTGCCCCCTTGCAGCTGGGCGGTCTGCAGTTCGATAAGGAGCTGAGGTCACTCATCGCCTACCTTACCACAGTGACCACCTGGACCATCCGAGACAAATTTGCCCGGCTCTCCCAGATGGCCACGATCCTCAATCTGGAGCGGGTATGTGTGGCTCCCTTGACCTGGCAAGGGAAAGGTAACTGGGAAGAGAGGCAGAAACAACATTTGGATCCCTGCCTCTCCCTCAAAACCAAGTGTTCACCAGCAGCCCAGCCCTACAGAGCACCTTCTTCCTGGGCACCACCCCTGCTCTGCCTCTGGTGGAGCCCAAGGCCTTCTGTCAGGGTAGCCTCTCGTTGCTGACTTGTCATATGTTCTTCCCCACAGGTCACGGAGATCCTAGATTACTGGGGCGCCAACTCTGGCCCACTGACATGGCGCCTCACCCCTGCCGAAGTACGCCAGGTGCTGGCTCTGCGCATGGACTTCCGCAGTGAGGACATCAAGAGGCTGCGCCTGTAGCTGCCAGGGGGCGCCCACCTGGCCCATCATTCTTCAGGCCCCTTCCCTAAGTGGCCACAGCCAAGTGGCTGAGCAAGGCTGTCTGGCTTGGGGAGCTCTGACGGAGCAGACTGTTCCACTGCAGACAGCAGGAAATAAGGCTCAACTCACTCTGCTGTCTGCACTCAGGCCTGTCTGGGTGGTGCTTTGCAGGTAGCATCTCCCCACCAAGAGAGGTGAGTCCCCGTGGGCACCTAATTACGTGGGAAAGCCAAGGCAGGCCAGCTTTCTGCACGGGTGGCCATTCTCTCCTCAGACACAACAGCAAACAGCCTGCCTCCCTGCCAGCCCTAAAGGACTTCGGTATATCTGGGGCCCTGGGGAATTAGGTTTACTCTGAGGAGAGGCTGTGATGTTTATGATCACCCTGAATAAAGACACTCCTTGGAGAGATGCCAGTATGCTGTTTCCAGGGCGGGCTGGATGCTATAGGGCAAGACAGGTCCACCAGTTGCACTGAAGTGTGAAGGCAAAAGCCTAAAGCCTCAGCCTCCTCCCATACCCAGAGGGGTGCACAGCCACTGTCAGGACCCACATGAAAGCATGCACCTCAACCTCATCTAATCCTGGATCCTCATCCCCCCCTTGGGCCCTTAGCACCAGAAGCTCGATCATCCCAGGGGGAGTTTCCCACAGTGCCAAGGCAAGTGGGAATTTCCCCTGGCAAGAACAAAAAAGAACTTTATGAAAACAACCTGGAAGGGCAGAGCAAATTTATTCCAAGAAGGTTGCAATCCTGAGAATCGACTGCCCATAGGCAGTGGGTCATGTGGCATAGTCTGTAGTGTTAATGGTTAAGGCCTCTATTAGCAGTGACTTGCTGTAAGACCACACTGGCTCATGGCCACAAACAAGAGTAGGGACCCACACCCCTGTTCCCCCTCCCCCATCAAGTCAGCCTAGGAATGAGTGTTGAACAGTCTCTTCTCAGGCAAAAGCCTGACCTCTAAGGAAGGCCACAGGAAATGCCTCGAAGAGCCTCTTCAGGGTTGGCCTTACTAAAGGACCGCAGCCATCTCCTAAAGCTGGTCATCCTTTTTCCAGGCCCTCATGGAGAGTAAGGAGGCCAAGGCCCAAGGCGGGCCAGAGATCTGTAAAGGCCACATGGGACACTCAGTTTAGGACTCGCCTGTGTCCAGATGGAGCAGAGGCTAGGCCTAGACTGCCGTCAACCAGGAGGTCACAGTCCTGTTCCCAGGCACCATCTGTTTCACAAAGCTTCAGAAAGGGCTGGGCCCAAGCTCACGTTGGCTGGCTTCCTTTGGGAGCAGGTTCACAAAGGGGTGGGTAGAGAGTAGAAGGCTAACACTCCCATGGGGGAAGGAAAGGTGGGGCTGCTGTAGCTCCAGGTTTTCTCCTCTGACAGAGAGACAAGCCTTCTGGGAAGGAGCATCAGGTTGAGGTCTCACCTCCCAGCAGCTGCAGGCTCAGGCCCTGAGTGTCCACTTCTACCAGGTGGACACTGTAGTTCCCAAGGCCCTAGAAGCAAAGGACAGGAAGTGTTTAGAGGACAGGAGGCTCTGGGCAAGTCTCAGGCCACAAACCTCATGCTGCAAGGTGGTCAGGGGGACTTGCAGCTGTAGCCCCTGGTTAGTGGTGGGCTACGGTGAGGGCTCCTGTCCCCCACCAATTACCACACCCCCAACACTATCAGGTACCTCAGTCTTGGCCAGGACAGCCTCCAGAGCCTCCTTTTGCCGCGGCTCCTTGGTCAACAGATAGAGAAAACCCCCTCCACCTGCCCCTGCCAGGCTCTGGCCATGCACGTGGGGGGCCAGGACATCCATCATACGTCGCACAGCCAGGGGCTCACAGCCCGGAGCCATGAGTTTCTTTTGCTCCCAGTATGAGGTCAGGCACTGGCCCAGCAGAGGCAGGCTCCCTGGAGAGGGGGCAGAAGGGAGTGGCCTGCCTGAACCAGGATATTCCTTCAACACCCATTTGTAGACCAAATGAGGTGCCAAGAGACACTACTTAACCAGTGTCATGGGTAAAAACCTAGCTCCAATGCTGGCTGGAAACAGGAGTGCTGAAGCCCAACACACAGGGTTGTTTGAAGACTGAAGTGCAAGGAGCAGCTGCATGGGGCCCAATACAGTGTTCAGTCAACTGTGGTCACACACATGGAACCCTGATCCGCTGACTCTGGAACTCAACAATGGGGCTGAGCCTCCTCCCCAGTCTGCTGCCTGGTCTGTGGGGCTGGAGGCCTTCCTCATGGTGCAAGTGTTACCCTAAGATATAGTTCCCACCTAAGTGTGAGACCCTACAGAGGAAAGACAATAGGCTTCTGTCTCCAGGGGCCTCATACATGGGGCCTGAGGCAAGCCTGCAAAGGCTCCTGGCCTCAGACCCACAGGTGACGAAGTACTCGCTCCTGGTGCCCTGAGACCCAGCAAGAAGCACCTCACCTTGGCGGAAGGCTTTAGCACATTCCTCAGTGTGCTGCACCAGGCTGTGGGCGTTCTGCACGACGGCAGGCACCCGGGCATACCAGCTCCTCAGCACATCCTGCAGATGGGGCGGGAGGGAGGCAGTAAGGATCTGGGCCCAGCTGAGCCATCTGCCTCCCTCCCTCGTCCTGGGGCCAGGGCTCACCTGCAGCAGATTCCGTGCCAGCCGGGTCTTGCCGGTGTACACAAGGAGCAGGTGGTCACTGAGCTTCTGGACAAAGCCCTCAGGCACAGTGATCTCCTCCACCTCCACCTTCAGCGGCAGCTGAGCCCGGGAGCGCCCCACCTTGATGCCAGGCATAAGGCCACCCACTTGGTCCTGCCAGCCACCTCCTGCAAGCCCAGGGTCCCATCACTTTTGGAGCCTATCTGGCTCAACTTCTGGCTCCCAGCCCCGGCTCCCAGCCCTGCACCCCTGGGAGGGACCAGTGTGGGAAGATAGCTTCCCCCAACTCAGGCTGGGCCAGGTGAGCTGTGCAACTTCTGCCCCCAGACCTGGGAACAGGACAAGCCCAGCAGGGGGAAAGGGTTTCACTCTGGAGCCAAGCTTGGAACTCACAAGGCCTGAGTTGCAGACCTAACTAAATGGAATTGGGGTAAAACATATCAAAGGGTAAGCCCTAACGGTAAACTTCTCCCCTCCAGGAGAGATGACATAGGACTTTCCCTGCAGCCTAACAGGCCCCTGCACCCTGTCTTTCCTAGTAAAAGGTGTTGATGTTAGAAATCAGCTTTTTGGGCGCCTGGGTGGCTCAGATGGTTAAGCGACTGCCTTCGGCTCAGGTCATGATCCTAGAGTCCCGGGATCGAGTCCTGCATCGGACTCCCTGCTCAGCAGTGAGTCTGCTTCTCCCTCGGACCCTCCCCCCTCTCATGCTCTCTCTCTATCTCATTCTCTCTCTCAAATAAAATCTTTAAACAAAATAAATAAATAAAAAGAAATCAGCTTTTCAGTGTCTCTCATTGAACTTGAAAGAGCTTGTTCACATCTTACTTTAGCAATGAACGGTATGGATCTCTTCCTCTTGCAACGATATAAAAGTGACACTAATTTGAGATAATTCTGAGATAGGCCTTCCATATCTGGGGAAGGGCCTGCAAGGATTTGAAGTACAAAATGCCAATGGCAGGAAGCATCTGGAATTTTACAGCCAAGACAAGGCGGTTGGCTTCAGGCCCTGAATGTCAAGAACTCTTTACCGGCACCCCTCTCCCTCAGAGCATTCAGCACAGCTTGTAATTATACGTTCATTTGAGTGGTTATTGATTAAGGTCTGTCTCCAATAGACCATAGGACTTCTGAGGGAAAGGACCCCGTTTTTGCTCATTTGCTCATTTTATCCCCAAGGCCCAACACAGAGTGGATACTTAATAAATCGTTGTCAAGTGACCAAATGAAGCATTTGAATGGTACACCTCAGAAGGAAAGTGAAAAGCTCCTTCCCCCGCCTTGCTAGTGACTACCCATTCCGGGGTGTGAATCATGGCAATGAAAGGAGGAGGCTGGGCTACAGAGTGGCCGGAGGAGATGCCATAGTTAGGCATCTATTTGTCTTTGCAGCAGCTTCCTTCCCAGCGTCATGCACGTGAGGCCCTGCATCCTGAGGTGACCAGAGCTCCATAGGATCTGGGGTCAGACAAACCTCCAGCTGCCCTCCCTTGTGCATTCCAAGGGGCCACAGTGGTGTGGAGGAGGAGGGTGCTAGTAACATTCCGTTATGATCAGAGCATGTACTGGGCCCTCTGCACAACCCCTATATAGTAGTGGGGGGCACAAATGACCATAGCACAAGGGAGGGGCAAGTGGCCAGAAGGCAAGCTAAAAGTTCTGTTCTCTATTCCAAACCCACCTTGGCCCAGCCCCACCCTGAGGGACAGCCCTAGGTGGGGAGAGAATCATGGGGAATAGCACCTGGTATAACGGGTACCTAATAGGACACATGAAAACTGCAGCACAGAATATGGCACTTAGTAGGTGCTCCTAAAGCATTAGGCCCTTAGAAGTTGAAACATTTCAAGTTGAAAACCAAGCAGAAAGGGTCAGAGTGGTAAGAAGGACACTGTAACCACTTTAAGGAATAGTACAGTTATGTGGCTGTCTGCAAGTCCAGGGAGCCCCTGCAGAACCTTGGGAAAATGCCCACGACCTCCCGCCTGCCCCAGGGCAGTCCCATACCTGTGGTGAGCACCTGTTCCAGGTGCAGCACCGCATGGATCAGGGCCTCAGTGCCCACCACCCGGCCCGCGGCCCTCTGCAAGGCAGCCAGGGCTGCGCCTGCCAGGATGCTGCTCGTGCCTGCAGGGTGCAGAGGAAGGCGCCAGCCATGAAACAGCTCTGCCCAGCCCAGTCCTGCCCCACCCACTCCCCCTGCTGGGCAGAGGCTGGGGAGGGGATCAGAGGTGAGACCGGGGGTTGGGGATGCTGTTGGTGGGCAGCAGGGAGACAGGACCCGCTCACCAAGACCAGAACCATGGGGCAGCTCCGACCAGGTGTGCAGCTCAAAGCCTCCCCCAAAGGCGTGCAGCAGCTGCTCTCGCAGCGAAAGCTTGGAGCCGACATGCACGATCCCCGCACAGATGAAGGTTGCCTTCAGCAGAGCCCCTGTGGAGGGACCAGCAAGGAATTTGGTCTCCAAGGGCAGAAGCAGATACCCCAAGTCACCTCCACTACTGCCCAGCCCAGCATGAGGCTCCCCGGGGGACAAAAGCCCAACAGTACTGCAGGCCCCATATCTAAGCCATGAAAGGGCATCTGGTCTCCCAGCAGAGGCAAATGTGCCAGCCCTACCTCCTGGGCCTATATGCACATAGGCAGGATGACTTCGGGGCTGCTCCACCAGACTGGCTCACCCTCAGGCCAGGCCTCTGTGGCCTGCAGGGTCTCCAAGGTTCTGCCCCCATCCCTCAGCTGGACACGAGTGTCATCCCCACCTGGAGATGTCAAAGTGCCCTGACCTGGGGCATGGGGCTGGCAGTAATCTTGCAGGTCATCCAGGCTCCAGCACACTATCTTCAGGGCCATCTTGTCCTGCCGAGGCCCCACTGCCAGCCACAGCTCGGGCTCTGGGATGCGGCGTGCCCTGGCCCCGATGGGCCGGCGGCCATCCACTCGCACGGCCAGACCCAGCACTGCCCCACCGAGCTCATAGGCAAGGGGTGGCGTGTCGCTCCAGCCACCTTCAGCAATTGGATAAGACCAAGTGGGTCACAAGGGCTGCCAGCCCAGCTCTGGGAGGGCCACCCTCACCCCCACCCCCAAAGGCTCACCAGAGAAATCCACCCGAGCCGGGCACTCAGCCACCACCCACTGTCCAGGAGCTGGCTGCTCTGCTGGCTCCGTGGACACAAACTGCCGGGCTGATAGCACAGCCTGGCGGATGAGAATCTGCCCGGCTCCCTCGTAGTGGCGGGCAGCTCGCACTAGCAAGGCTGGCCTGCCAAGAGGGAAGGGAGAGATGGTGGCATGGAGCCCCAAGCTGGGGGTGAACTACCTGGGCTTGGGGACATGACTGCCCTGGGTAACCCTACCCTGGGTAGGAGGACACCCCTACCTCTCCATGGGTTTCTACCTACAAGGATGGCCAGGGACCTCACAAAGGCCTTGACATCATTAGCACCCACCTGCTCAGCCACTTGTCCCGCTCCTGGGCAAGTGCATGCACACCCCCCGCCAGGTCTCCACACTCCAGGTACGAGAAGGGCCGCATCCACCCAGGGTTGGCAGCTGGCCCGCTCCGTAAGCCTCCTTGGCCCTCTGCCATGCAGCCCAGGACATCGGCCACACAGGCCAGGGCCCGGGCTGCCACACCAGGGTCTCCCGCACCAGCTGCAACTGAGAGACCAGGAGTCAGTGTGGTGGGGGAGGGGGCCTGCCCCCAACACCCTCTGCCCCAGAAGACTACTCAGCAATCCCCAAACAAGAGGTCCCTCACACCTCTTCATTTTTGCCCAGGATGTGTCCTTGCCCATGAATGTTCCCCACTTCTCTGCCCGGAAAAGTTCTTCCCATCAGCCCCATCCCCAGATGTGCCTCTTCACCCCTCACCCGGGATATCCAGTGGTTACGAGCTCAGGCTCCAGGGTCCAACTACCTGGATTTAGTCTCAGCCCCACCACCAACCAGCTTAAATGGGGATAATGAGGTGCTGCCCATGAGGCTAAGGCTGAGCCCCTAGCCAGTGTGCCTGGGCCTCAAGATGGAGCCAATGACCATCAGGGAAATCCAAATCAAAACCTCAATGAGATACCACCTCACACCCGTCAGAATGGCTAAAATTAACAAGTCAGGGAACGACAGATGTTGGCGGGGATGTGGAGAAAGGGGAACCCTCCTACACTGTTGGTGGGAATGCAAGCTGGTGCAACCACTCTGGAAAACAGTATGGAGGTTCCTCAAACAGTTGAAATTAGAGCTACCGTTCGATCCAGCAATTGCACTACTGGGTATTTACCACAAAGATACAAATGTAGGGACCCGAAGGGGTACATGTACCCCAATGTTTATAGCAGCAATGTCCACAATAGCCAAACTGTGGAAAGAGCCAAGATGCCCATCGACAGATGAATGGATAAAGAAGATGTGGTATATATACACAATGGAATATTATGCAGCCATCAAAAGGAATGAGATCTTGCCATTTGCAACGACGTGGATGGAACTGGAGGGTGTTATGCTGAGTGAAATAAGTCAATCAGAGAAAGACATGTATCACATGACCTCACTGATATGAGGAATTCTTAATCTCAGGAAACAAACTGAGTGTTACTGGAGTGGTTGGGGGTGGGAGGGATGGGATGGCTGGGTGATAGACATTGGGGAGGGTATGTGCTACGGTGAGCGCTGTGAATTGTGCAAGACTGTTGAATCACAGATCTGTACTTCTGAAACAAATAACGCAACATATTTTAAGAAAAAAGGAACAGAAGAAGATAACAGGAGAGGAAGAAAAGGGGAGTATGTCGGAGGGGGAGACGAACCATGAGAGATGATGGACTCTGAAAAACTGAGGGTTCTAGAGGGGAGGGGGGGAGGGGGATGGGTTAGCCTGGTGATGGGTATTGAGGAGGGCACGTTTTGCATGGTGCACTGGGTGTTATGAACAAACAATGAATCATGGAACACTGCATCAAAAACTAATGATGTAATATATGGTGATTAACATAACAATAAAAAATTTAAAAAAAAAAAAAAAGATGGAGCCAATGACATCCCAACCCACTGCAAAACATGCAGGGTTTGCGGATGCTCACAGGACCCCAAGGCTCAGCCCCAGGCCCCAGCCTCTCACCAAACTCCCCATTGACAGGGATGAAACTTCCCACAAAGTTACAAGTACACTCCACTGCATCCCTCCTCTGCTTTAAAGTCTCCTGGCTCCCTAGTGTCCTCAGACTGATGACCCAGAGGGCAGGGAGGGCAGGTGATGGTGGGACTGGCTCTCCAGCACACTCACCGTGGTCCAGCGTGGCCAGCAGGGGCCCAGGACAGCCCTCTCGGACAGCAGCCCGTATCAGTGGGCGCAGGCTGAGGTCCTGCCGGGCCTCCAGCACATGCCTCACCTTCCGCAGGGCCTGCCGGAAGAACAGGTCCCGGCGGGACGCCAGTGTGGCAGCCCGGTCCAGGCACGGCTGCAGCTGCTCCCAGGACAGACGCCAACAGGCCCGCCAGGCCCTTAGGGCCTTGCCCCCATCCTCCTGGGGGTGCAGCATCCACAGCAAGTCCTGGGGCCCCAAGGCCCTCGAGGGGTGGAGCACGGGAAAGAGGCGGGCACTAAGAAGGCAACGCTCTGCAGGGGGAGTGTCTGGATCCCACAGATCCCAGTCTCTGATGTGGGGAAAAGGCACATTAGTGGGGGGAGGGGGGCAGCAAGGGCTCCTGCCTGGTCACCAAGCCCTGACTGCCCGTCAGCTGGGAGCTGGCTCATTCATGGGGACAGGACAAACTCCTCCAGAGGAAGCCCAAGGGGACAACTCAGGGAGGGAGGCCCAGCTGCCCTGCCTCCTTTCCCAGACCACTGAACCAAATCCCAAAGCTTAAGCAGAGCCAGGAATTTGGAGTTGCCCGGGAAGATGCTGCCCAAAACTACCCCAGGCCCCCGGGATGGTTGGGGGCACCGGGTGCCGCCCTGAGAGGCAGGAGCAACGGCAGGGATGAGCCACAGAGAAGCAGCCCCCCTGGCCGCCTGGGCCCATGGAGGCCCATTGGGGTCATCCACCTTACCGAACGCCTGTCTTCTGGAAGAATTCACTCCAGGACATGTTGAGATATGTTCCTGTCCCCTGTCTCTGCGGGAAGAGGAGGAGGCAGTCAGGGCCTCCGGGGCCACAGGAAGGGGTGAGGGACACTAAGGCCAGAGAGGACAGGAAGAGACATGGGCACATACACAAGCGAATTCTGTAACACTGCACCAAGCCCTGGAGCCTCAGTGCTCCTGCCCAGGTGCCGGGAACTGGGAGCGGAACCCTGCTTCCAGGCCCATCCCACCGTAACTGGCTCTGCAGTCCAAGGCGGGTCACCACCCTCTCTGAACTTCAGTGTCTGGCCTACAACATGGGCATAAAAATCCCTAGCCAGCCTGCCACACAGAGCGGACAAGGAGGGAATGGCCTGCTGAGACTACTGGCCACACCCTCCTCACCCCCTGTCCCTCAGGCCAGTGCTCAAAGAGACGTGCAGTGGTGCAGGTGCTAGGCTGGGACCCTTGGGGCTCCCCAAAGCCTTAAGATGGGCAGTGAGGGAGGAGGGGTGGACACCTGCCTCCCAGCTGTCCAGACAGCCAACAAGGGTGAAGACACGGCCGGGAGCACCATGTAGCTGCACGTGGTGTCCCTGCAGGACGAGGTCATGCAGCTCCAAACCACGCAGGGCCTCGCACTGCGCCGTGTCCAGGCCACTCACGAGGCAGCCAGGGCCGATGTGAACAGGGCCCTGGAAGAAAAGGCAGGCATCCTAGCACAGCCCTTAGTGCCCCCCCCCCCCCGCCCGCGCACTCAGGACCCTGGCCCCTGGAGCCCTGCCCTCCCTCTCCCCTGCTCTCTGGCCTCACCTGCAGGTGGCAGTGCTGCAATACACTCCCAGCACCCAGCTGGACAGGGCCCTCCAGCAGGCAGCTGACCACAGAGCTCCCAGCGCCCAGGAGCTGCAGCTCCTGCAAAGCCAGGGAGGAGGTCGCGAGGGCCCCGGGCCCAGGGCTGCCCAATCCCCCTCCGCATCCAAGGCCCCCACCAGAATTCCTGCCGCTCCCCGAGCCTGAGAGCCAGCCAGACCCCTCTGCCCCAGCCCCAGCTGCAGGCCAGCTCCCCTCCCACCTTGCTCATGCTGCTCCCCCAGTGGCACGCTCTGCCTGCGTTCTCCCCAGCAAATCTGCACTCAGTGACGGAGGTCCCCCGCCCCAGATGACAGCTCTCCCAGGAATCCCCACCCCTGCCACCCTGAGAGCCACCTATGAACTCTCCCTGCCCGCTTCCTCAGCCCATGGCAGTGACCCTGGCCCATCGCCTCAAATGTGCCTGTCTCCCCAAGCAGAGCCCACAGACAGCGGCTTCTCTAGTTTCTTAGTCAGGCAGACCCCGATGGAGAATCCCGACTTGGCCACCTATTGGCTCTGTGGCTTGAAGCAAGCTACTTAACCTCTCTGAGCCTCCAGGGCCTCATGTGAACAATGAGAATAATCATGCCTACACTCATAGGTGGTCTGTTGCAAGCACCGGCTATCCTTTCCCTTTCCGGGAGCCCACACCCCACCTGTCCACAGGCACCCCCAGGCACCTCTGCCGGCCCTCCCTCCAGGCAGGCCTTACCTCCACCTGGGAGTGCACTACCCGGGCCCTGGGAGCCCCTGGGAACGTGAGGCTGCACAGGAACTCACTGGCCGAGCTGGTCATGTAGCTGTAGCTGCCGTCGGGGACATAAGCTGTAAAGATACAACGACTGACCCCAGCCCCATGCCTGCTACAGCTCTGATGTCTCCCACTGGAAGACACACCTTAATGAGGCCCTGGGAAGGCAGGCCCGCCAATGAGCCCACTGTGCCTATGGGGAAGTTGAGATCCAGGGAGGCTCAGCCACCTGTCCAAGTCACACAGCTAGAAAGTAGAAGGATTGGGACTGGAGCCCAGGAATGAGACAAAGGAAGAAGGGAAAAGAGTTATGGGTTCTGGACTGGGAGAGGGGTCGCTGTCTGGCATGCACTAGGTCTGCCTGGTCCAGGAGCCCGGGGGCCAGGCAGGCAGCAGCCTCATCCTAGGGGTCGTCACTCCTGTGGTCTCCCCACCCCAGAAAGCCAAGTGGCAGTACCCACCCATGGTGAGGGGCTGATCACGAAGCTCCCTCCATAGCTCAGCCCGGGCAGCCTGCAGATAACCCGCGACGTCCGAGTCACCTTGCCCCATCTCCGGGGGCTGCCCCACCAGGAAGTTCTCCCGGTTCACATTCCGGGCCATGCAGAGCAGGATGTCGAAAAAGAGAGACAGCTGGGGCAGGGATAGGAAGCACAGCTACTGGGAAGGTTCCTAGGTTGAGCTGGGGCAGTCCCATTCCCAGACACTGGCCCAAGGCCACCCAACCAGGCTGCCAGTGTCAGGGCCTCTATCCAAGGCTTGGGGACCTTAGCCCATGCCCCCGGTCACCTGGACTGGCCGGGCTCCAGAGTCCAAGCCCATGTAGGTGCAGGCATCCAAGGGCGGGCTCACATGGGTGGCCAGGAGGTGCTCGGCAGTCTCCACAGAGAAGAAGGTGACCCCGGAGACCTGGAGAGGTCAGGGTCAGGTGGGGGAGGGGGATGCTGGGCCAGGCTTGGGCCTGAGTTGGGAAGGGCATAAGAAGGCCCGTGCAGACGGGCCAGGCAAGGTTGGCTGCCATACCAACCAGGGTCCTTTGTCTCCGGGCCACTCCAGCACCCAGGCTCCAGGCTTACTGGGAGTGGCTCCCACTCAGGGACCCCTCAACAGGGACGTTCTGACACCCCCCTCAATTTTCAGGCCTTCCTGAACTAGAGATAGAGAACAAAAAATAGTTCCCTGTCTTCCTCAACATCCAGTCCCAAACCCTTACCCAACAGTCCTAACCTTGTCTTTCGTTCTAGAAGGATCCCCCAAGTCAGATTCTAGACTTCCTCCCAAATGCATTCCCAAAATTCCCCACATTCTGGTTCTAGCTTTTCTGGTTTGGGACAAGACCCTGAATCCCAAGGTCACACCTTCTTCAGCTTCTAGCTCTACCGGCTCCCCCGAATGCCAGTTCTAGACCTTACTCGGCTTCTGGTTCTAGCCCACCCCAGAATCTTCTGGAAGGAGTGGAGCTCTGCCCTGAGCAGGAAGGCAAACCCTCCCCTCCTCATCCCAGAAGGCCCCCAAAGCCCCCAGCGTGGGTCTGGCAGCTGTACCAGCGGCACCCGCCCGTCCGGCCTGGCACACCGTTGTATCTCTGCCTCGGTGCCCTGGTAGTAAATGTCCAACACGAAGCCCTATTGGAGCGGGGAGAAAACAGAGTTAGGGAAAGGAGCAAGAGAGGATCAGCCAGGAGGGAAGGGCAAGGTGTTCTCCAAATGAACAGCTAGGACGAAGTCTGGCAGCTCCCAGCATGCTCACAGGGCCCCGGGAGCCGGAGACTCCCCACCCCCCCCGCCCCCCGATGGCAGAGCACAGGCTTTGAATGTCTTCACAGCCCTGAGCACATGCACAGAAGCTAGCACGCGGCCAGTGGCCAGTGCCAGATCGTGTTTGGCAAAAGACTAAGTGAGCAAAAGGGCTGTTTGCAGGGGAACTGCTCCAAATGCAGACCATGCCAGAAAGTCCAGGATGAGAGGCTTCCCCAAGCATAGGACCAGGAGGCCAACCCAGATGGTTCGGCTGCCCACACTGCTGTCCCAGGGGCACTACCTGGGAGTCAGTGAGGTAAACACCATGGTTCCGGGCATAGGCCGTGCTCCCTGGAAGGGCAATCACTCTGGCTCCCCGGAAGTTGTCCCAGCTGATCCCTGTGAGTCAGGCAGTTAGGAGGTACCCTGGGGGCCCCAACCCAAGGCAGGGGGCCCTAGCCAGGAGAAGGCAAGAGCTCAGGGCAGGGACATCCAGACACCTCTAAAGGGAATATGGTTTCCAAAGCCAAAGGGACATTCCTCTGGGAGAATGACAACACCTGCCCTCCCAAAATTCTTGCACAGAGCCCTGCAGGGCCGAAGGGGCAGGGTGGGGTATCTCCATTCTCTAGCCAGGCAGACAGAAGCCCGATGGGGGAAGGGAAGCCGGACCTCTGGGTCTGGGCTTCATGCTCCACATCCTACAGCTTCCCTTCTGAACAGGGCAGCAGGCCAGGCCCAGAGACCAAGTGAAGAAAGGTTTCTGGGGTGCCTGGGTGGCTCAGTTGGTTGGGCGACTGCCTTCGGCTCAGGTCATGATACTGAAGTCCCTGGATCGAGTCCCGCATCAGGCTCCCTGCTCGGCGGGGAGTCTGCTTCTCCCTCTGACCCTCCCCCCTCTTATGTGCTCTCTCTCTCTCAAATAAATAAAAAATAAAATCCTTAAAGAAAAAAAAAAAGAAAGAAAGGTTTCTGGCTGTGGCTAGGGTAGGCAGTCCCAGGCCTTCTAAGGCTCACCTGGGTTCGGAGGAACAGATAGCAGCATGTCGGTGCTGCAAACCCACACACCTGGTGGGGAGCCTGGGCCCAGCTGTGGAGGAGAGAGAGCCTGTAGCCGGTGGCCTGGCCCGGCCCTCCCTCTGCTCCCACAGAACGCGGTCGTGGCCTGTCCAGGCGGACTCCGGCTGCTGAAGTAATGGGACCTCCCCTGACCTGTGGTGCCGAGGCTGGTCCTTCCCTCTACTTTGAGGACCACACCTCTCCACAGGCATGGCCGAGACTAACTTCCTGAAGCTCTAACTCTGGGCACACCCGAAGCCGCTCTTCCTGGCATCCCCTGCCTGCACCAGCACAGACTGCAGAGCCCGTGTGCAGTGGGAAATCTTTGTCTCTCTCTGGGAGGAGGCCCCATGGTCACCACCAGCCTTACCCGATGGCTCATGATGTCCAGCAAGCAGTCCAGGTTGCAGACCACGGCCTCCACTGGAGCCTGGGGTTTTTCCACCGGGAGGCAGGTGAAGGCCCGGCCACAGTCATCAAAAGGGAAATCTCGGCCCTAGGGAGGGAGCAGGGACAGAAGAAAGAACCCTCAGGGCAGAGAGCCTGGGGACACACAAGGCAGGAAGCCATCAAGCTAAAAGACTTTTAAAACGTGTTTTCTCAGGCTCCTGGCTGGCTCAATCAGTGGAGCGCTTGACTCTTGATCAGGATTGTGAGTTCAAGCCACACACTGGGTGTAGAGATTACTTAAAATCTTTTTTTTTTTAAGATTTTATTTATTTATTTGACAGAGAGAGACACAGTGAGAGAGGGAACACAAGCAGGGGGAGTGGGAGAGGGAGAAGCAGGCTTCCCACTGAGCAGGGAGCCTGATGCGGGGCTCAATCCCAGGACCCTGGGATCATGACCTGAGCTAAAGGCTGACGCCTAACGACTGAGCCACCCAGGCGCCCCCTTTTTTTTTCTTAAGATTTTATTTATTTATTTGAGAGAGAGAGAGCACAAGTAGGCAGAGAGGCAGGCAGAGGGAGAGGGAGAAGCAGGCTCCCCGCAGAGCAGGGAGCCCAACGTGCGGCTCAATCCCAGGACTCTGGGACTATGACCTGAACCGAAGGCAGCTGCCCAACCAACTGAGCTACCCAGGGGCCCTGAGATTACTTAAAATCTTAAAGTAAAATGTGTTTTCTTCATTTTTTTTTAATTAATTAATTTTTTTATTTGAGAGAGAGAGCACAAGCAGGGGGAGCAGCAGAGGGAGAGGGAGAAGCAGGCTCCCCACTGAGCAGGGATCACGACCCGAGGGGAAGGCAGATGCTTAACCGACTGAGCCACCCAGGCACCCCATCGGAGTGTTTTCTTACAATGTTTTCAATTACATGATTATGGTGAAAAATTAGAAAATGCAGATCTGCAAAAAGAAAACAATTCCTCAGGGAAAATAGCCATTGCCCTCATTTTGAGCTGTATCCTTTCAGATTTTTCTTTAATTTTTTAATGAGATTATGAGAGGGTAGAAACAATAAAACTTAACACACACACACACACACACACACACACACAACTACAATAAAACTAGGGGAAAAGATTGGGAATTATATCAATGTCAATATCCTAGCTGTGGGGGATGCCTGGGTGGCTCAGTCGGTTAAGTGGCTGCCTTCAGCCCGGGTCATGATCCCAGGGTCCTGGGATCGAGTCCCACATTGGGCTCCTTGCTCAGCAGGAAGCCTGCTTCTCCCTCTCTCTCCCTCTGCTTGTGCTCTCTCTGTCAAATAAATAAAATCTTTTAAAAAAAATTTTTTTTAAATATATCCTAGCTGTGGTTATACTACAGTTCTCAAAAATATTAGTACTGGGGGAACTCTGGGCAAAGTTTGCAAAGGCTTCTCTCTATTATTTCTTACATGTGGATCTATACTCATCTTAATCAAAATTTCAATTACAAAAGGCACCTGGCTGGCTCAGTTGGTAGAGCTTGCAACTCTTGATCTCGGGATTGTAAATTAGAGCCCCAGGTTGGGTGAAGAGATTACTTTTTTAAAAATCTAAACAAGGGGTGCGCCTGGGTGGCTTAGTCGGTTGAACGTCTGCCTTCGGCTCGGGTCATGATCCCGGGGTCCTGGGATTGAGCCCCGCATCGGGCTCCCTGCTCGGCGGGAAGCCTGCTTCTCCCTATCCCTCTCCCCCTGCTTGTATTGCCTCTCTCGCTGTGTCTGTCTCTGTCAAATAAATAAATAAAATCTTTTTTTAAAAAAAAGCTGAGATCATTTTATATAAACTTGTGTGGCTAGCTCTTCCCAGTAAACAATGAAAACACATTCCCTGAATGCTCAGAGTGAGCCAGGCCAGGCCCCGTTTTAGCATTTACGTGGATCATCTCAATACTTCCCCATGAAGTAGAAACTGTTGCCATCCTCATTTTACAGATGAGGAAACTAAGGCCTAGAAAGAAAGGGTCAAGTGACTTGTCCAAGGTCACAGAGCTGTTAAGTCTCTTTCCAGGCCAATGCATAGAGCTAGCTAGACTTTTAAATCACTGTCTAACATTTTGCTGCTTATATTCAGCCCATTCCCTACTTCTGGACACTTGGATCAATTCTGATTCTGATTCTTCTGTATGTGCACAATAAGCACCTTGCACAAACGCAAAGATAGAACACCTATCTAACCCCAAGGACTGATGGTTCCAGCCTTCAGCATGGCCCTCTACTAACCATGTGCAGGATAAGGATCCGGGCCGAGTGCAGGACATCAGATGTCACCACCTGTCAAATGTGGAAGAGCCCTGTAGGACAGAAGCCTGGGCAGATGGCACCCAAGGATGTTCTCCTCTTGTCCAGGGAGAGACCCCAACACAAATCCACTCAGGGTACCAAAGGAAGAAAAGACACAGTCAGGACCAATGGCCACAGGCAGGCAAGGGGCGGCCCTGGCCCCTCCTGGATAAGGGAGCCTAGTGGCCCTCCACCTGGACCACCCCTCCACCCCTATTTTTTAGGGGAAGCTATAGGCAAGAATGTGGGGCTAACTGGGTGACTCACGGTAAGTCAGCCCCACAGGAACCACACAGTGGTGGCCTCCCCTTCCAGTGCCACCTCCATCCCTGCGACCACCCTCACTCCCTATGCCAGGGAGCCATGAGGGCAAGGTGACCAAGTGAAGAGGCTGTGGGGGGGGGGGGAATGTGGCCCCAGTGGGAACACTGACCCCTGTGCGCTGCACAAAGCAGGCAGCTCTATCCCAGTTCCAGCCAACAGTTGCCATGGGGGAAGGAGAGGCCAGGAGAGCAAGATGGAAATTTTCAAGAGAAGCCAGAAAGACTAATTCAGAGATCCTGGCTCCGATGTTCTAAGACCACTAGAAAGTCTGGCCCTGACTTCTGCCCCGCCCACTCCACCCCCACCCCACCCCCACCCCACCACCCTGATGAGTCTGCCTAATCTACAGGTACAGAAATTAATACCAGATGCTGAACTGGCCGGGCAACGGAACCCCAAAAGAATTGGTGACTTGGAGACAATCTGCTGGAAGCCCCCATCGCTGTTCTGACCAGGACGTGTGCTGGAGGAGGGCGCTCCGGGAGCACTCACCGTGAAGCCTGCCCGGGCACTCAGGTGTTCGGCAGCCACCAGCAGGGCATTGAGGGTGGCTCCCCCGCTGCCCACACGCGTCTCAGGGTCCTCCACAGCCAGTAACAGCGTCCCGGGAGGGATCTGCTCCCACTTCTGGCGCACCTCCAGCTCTGGGGTCAGAACACAAGCTGGGACGGGCGCCCAGCCTCCCCACTCTGGTCCAAAGCATCTAGAGCAAATCTACTGAGAGTCCCAATTTTCCCTTCTTTGACTCAGGAGCTTCTTTTACATTGAGGTATAATTACCTCTAACATTCTATTTGTTTCAGCTGTACAACGTCATGATTCAATATTTGTTAAAAAAAAAAATAGGGAATGCTTCACAAATTTGCATGCCATCCCCACAGAGAAGCCATGCTAACCTTCTCTGTGTGGTTCCAATTTCAGCATTTGTGCTGCCAAAGCAAACACTTAGTAGCTTTTCATTGAGTCGCTCGTTAGATCTTCACCCAACTCTATGAGGTAAGTACAACCAATCCCATTTAACAGATGAAAAAAACTGAGTCTCAATTAAATGACATGATGTGTCTTGGGGTCACAAGGCCAGAAAGAAGCAGAATCTGGGCTTGAACCCAGGTCTTCCTGGCTCGTAGGGCTGTAAGGTTATGATGGGGAATCTACATCAGAGGCAAAGTGGGAAGGGAGGGTCCCCTACCTCTCTGGAAGACGTGGACACTATCCTTGTACTGGCATGTCAGGATGATGACTGTCCAGTCGACCCCCTTGGGCTGCTCCATTCTGGCCAAAGTTGAGGGGCTCCCTGAGGCAGAGATAAAGGTGTGTGTGAATTTCTGAAAAAAAATTATCTTACCCTAAAATTGATTCCTTCTGGTACACAGTTCTATTAATTTTTTTTTATTTTAAAGATTTTATTTTATTTATTTGACAGAGAGAGAGACAGCGAGAGAGGGAACACAAGCAGGCGGAGTGGGAGAGGGAGAAGCAGGCTTCCCGCGGAGCAGGGAGCCCGATGCGGGGCTCGATCCCAGGACCTTGGGATCATGACCTGAGCCGAAGGCAGACGCTTAACAACTGAGCCACCCAGGCGCCCCTGGTTCTATTAATTTTAATACATGTATAGGGGCACCTGGGTGGCTTGGTCAGTTAAGTGTCCAACTCTTGATTTCGGCTCAGGTCATGATCTCAGGGTTGTGAGATGGAGCCCCTGCTCAAGATTCTCTCTCTCCTTCTCCCTCTGCCCCTCCTCCACCCTCTCTAACAAAACTCAAAAGACCAAAAAAAAAAACCAAAAAACCCAAAACCCAAATGTAGAGATTCTTGTGTCTACCACCACTTTCTGTGCCCAAAACAACTCCTGCATGCTATCCCTTTGGGCACACCATCCCTCACCATCCATCCCTCACCACCCATCCCTCACCACCCATCCCTCACCATCCATCTCTCACCCCTGACAACCACACTGGTCTCCATAGCTATAGGTGGGCTGCAATCCTTTGAGATTGGCTTCTCTCACTCAACATAATGCCTTTGAGACTCATCCAAGTTGACTGTGCATATCAGTAGTTCTCTCTCTATTCGCCAAGCAGTATCCCATTGCATGGACTGGCATCCATGGTCTGTTTCTCCGTCCACCCATCGAAAGACATCTGGGCTGTTTCCAGGTTTGGGCAATCATGACTAGAGCTGCTACAAACATTTGCGTGCAGGCTTAGTGTGAACATAAGACTTCATCTCTGCCAGTGTATACCCAGGTATGGGATCATTAAGTTATATGTAAGTGTATCTTTGACTTTCTCAATCTGGATGCATGTGATTTCCTCAGGAGAGGAAGTGAGGGGAGCAAGGTGGGGTTGACAGTGGGTCCCACCTTAAAGCAAAAGGCTGCCCCTCCTCATTCAGTTACTGGCTGTGAGCTAGGGGGACGGGAGGGAGGGAGGTTCTAATCCTGAAGCCAAGGGCAATTCCCTGGAGAAGGGAGCAGCTGTGGGAGGGGTGCACAACCTGTTCAAAAGGATAAGGCAGGGTGCCAACAGTGCCCACTACAGGGACCTCAGAGGGGACCTCCCCTCCCAGAAGCTCCAAGCCAGAAGGGGGCTACAACCCACCTGACAGCCATCTTCCTCTAGGGCACTCTGAGCAAGTGAGGGGAAAGTGGGCCAAAGCTACGGCTTTGCCCTCTCCTACCCCCCTCAACATTCCTCTCCTACCAGATGGGAAATCAATCTGACTCCAGAGCCCCCAAGACCATCTGTAGACAAGTCCTCGAAAGTACCCTGGCATCCACCTCTGGCCGGGGTCCGGCTGCTATCCCACAAAGCAGCCCACCCCCACCCCTTCTTCCCTCCGACTTCCAAAGCTCAGCATGGGCAGGGATGATGGGGTGCCCAGAGTGTGTGTCCAGTAGTCAGCCCACGCTCCAAGAGCCAACAGCAACAGCATCTCTCACAGCAGACTCTGCTGCCATCAAACCTATGGTTAGGGCTGACAGACACCACCACTTAGCAACACCCACACTCCCACCAGCTTTCAGGGAGAGCCTCCACCACTAACAGAAATTGCTCTGTTCCCTGCTAAGCCCAAGAGGGAAATCCAGAGGGAAAATGTGAGCTAGAGATCTTGGCCAGCCACCTGAGGAAAAAGGCATTCCCCAGGATGTCCATCTGGACTTTCCAGTAAAGGAGCCTTGTGGGACTCCAGCTTGGCCACAAACTCACTGTGATCTCTGGCACCCTAACACTCTCAGGCCTCCTGTGGCAGAGAGTATAACTGACAAATGCCCCCAGCTTATTCACATGGAGGCCACGCTTCCCACCAACTGTTCCCAACCAATCAATGACTCCATGTGCAGCAGGGACACGAACACAGACCCATTCCTGCAAGATAGGGATCCTCTGACAGGCGACCTTGGCTCCTGGAGTTCCCATCAACCCAACAGAAATTTGTCTAAGAACTGCAAGGCAGTCAAACATCCTTCCTACCCTCCTTTCCTCCCTTCCTCCCTCCCTCCCTCCCCCTCCTTCTGGTGCTCCTTCACACGCAGCAGCCTGATAGCTCTCCCTGTATCCGCTAGCTCCCTCCGCTTTTTCCCCCTTCCCCAATAAATCTCTTGCAAGTCTAGTCCCATCTTGGTCTCTGCTTCTCCAAGGACCTGAACCAAAATGGGGAGTATAATATCATCCCTCTCTTGGCACCTTCAAAGGAGAAAAAAAAAATCACTGTAAGAACCTTTAACTTCATGTCAGGGAAGTACTATCTTTATCCTCAAAGATTAAGAAACTGAGGCACAGAGAGATTAAGTAACTTGCCCAAGGTCACACAGTGAGCAAGTAGCACAGCCCAATTTGAACCACTTTTCTCCAGAGTTCATTGTCTTAACCACTACACTGAACCTACTTTGTGGGAACAAGGAAAGAACAAAAGGAGTAAATATATGGAAAGTGCTCAGTGTATATTAGCCATTATGATAAAGCCTAAACAAATACAAGGTGATAATGAAATGAGGATGTTAATGATAAGAGCCCCTGGGACTGAGCTCACCACTCTGGCCCACGGTTAAGACATGATTTTTCATCCTCACAACATCCCCACAACTTATCCCTATTATTATTTCCACTTTAAAGAAGCTAATGGATGCTGCAGCCATGACTGGGAGCTGGATCACTCCAATTCTTATTCAGGTGATAGCGGTAATGATATTTAATCCCAAGCAAAGGTGCTGGAAGGGAGCAAGGAAGAAATGTCCCAAGGAGGGTCCAGTGACCCAGGAAATCTGAGCCCAATCTTGGTCTCAGCATAGTGACTGGGAGACATGGACAGGTGACAGATTATGACCAGAGGGAGGAGGGAAGGCCTATGTGGACTGCACCCTACTAGAGACTTAGGGCATAAGAGCAGTCCCAGGCTGAGAATCAGCCCCCGGGGCTCTGTTCCCATCTCTGCCTCCTCATGTGTGATTTTGAACAGGCTACCTAACCTCTGCAAGCCAAAGATACCAACCTCTCAGGACTGTTGCCAGTATTAAGTAAAATAGAAATGATGTGGCATACAGCGGGGGCTCAATGAGTGGCAGTTCTCTCCAACAGGGAAAGGGAACAGGAGAGTTTAACTTGACCCTGAAGCCAGTGGGAGTAAAGGCTCTGAAATATTCTCCAGGTCAAAGATGCCCCCAAAGACGAAAAAATCAGGGAAGGTCTAGGGAAATCAAGCCAGGCGAAGGAATATGACTTGCCAGATCAACCAAAAGGGTATTTTATGACAACACAAAAGGTGGAATGATACTGGTGGCTAAGGCTCAGGGAGTGCTTTCTTCAGAGACCAACACCAATGGCAGTGCAGAATCAGCTCACATGACTCACTCAATGGTCCTATGAATTGGATCTTATCACACACATGATATAGATAAGGAAACTAGCTGAAAGAGATAAAAGAGTCTGCTCAAAGTCGTACACAGATGGTACAGGCAGGCCAGGTGTGTCCAACACCAAAGTTCATGTTCTTCAGCACCCTGTTGGAACAAGACATCTCTCCTGCAGTCTATGCCCTGTCATACCTGACATTTACAGAAAAATTAGAAAAGAATACAGAGCTCTATTCCAATATTCTGCCAACTTTCAAAATCACTTCATCTACTGAGTTCAGGTTTTAATGTCCTCCGCCAATTTTCCCCATCCCAAAACTGGATAGGGAAGGGGAGCCAGGGACAGAAAAAATAATAAAACCTCTTCATATATGCTTTTGGAAGAGCGATGGGGGCAGGGATTTTGCATTTTAAAACTTTAAAGGTACAAAAAAAAAAAAAAACAGGCTCATGAAGGGATCTGATTTGCCTTCTGGAAAATAAAAAGGCACACAGAAGTTGACTGGGAGTAAAATCACTTTGTAAATTATACAAACGTCCTGTAATCGAGATTTGTGCATAATGATGAGCCCAGATGTAAACTACGGCAGGAGACAGGGCCTCAAAGCAAAGTCTTCAGTGCTGGCATCCAGCGCCCCGCCTGCCTCAAGGCTGAGGGGCCTCTGGGGCCCATATCCACCCCCACCCCCACCCCCGCCCCGCGTCCCAGGCGTCCCCACGTGCCTGGCACTGGCCAGGTCCCGGAGCTCCCACTGAAAAGACCCAGACCAAAGGTTAGCAAGACCTGCAAACTCCCCCTACAGCCAGTGGACGCCCAGGGGCGCCGGCAGAGTTCTCGAACACTCTTCCCTACCGGAAACCCGGAGGCCACTGGCCAGCTCGGTCCTACGAGTCCGAGAGCGTGGGCCGAAAAACAGTGGGGGGACTAAAGTGCGCGAAGCGGGGACCCGCACGGAATGACGTACCTGCCTCAGCTGGGCTTTCGGCGTCGCGGGCTTTTTAATACGGGACTGCTTGCCCCTTCGCAGCGCACCCTGGGAAATGTAGTTTCCCCCCTCCGTCCGTCCTGGCTTGTCCTCCCCAAAAAACTAACTCTGAGCTCTTTATTGCACGGGTACGCAGATCTGGTGAGGGCAGCGCTTTCCTAAAAGGCATGTGAGTTCAAATCGAGAAAGGAAGTGAGAATAGAAGGTGGCTCCGTTGCCCAGCAAAACTACAACTCCCAGAGGAACGAATGCGTCTTAGAGACGCAGGCTCGTTTTCTGGGACTCGAGGTTTTGCGTTTGGGGTCTGTTTAGCTCCCTAGCCTGGACCTGGGGCAGCTGCTTATCTCGGAAGAAAATAAAATCCACTGGGGCGGGGTGGGGGGGGTTGGATAACAACAGCTGTTGCCCGAGCCTAAGCGGCTACTGTTGGATTGACAGTTGGCTAGTGCTTTTGCGGGTTTCATTACATGGGTCCTTCAGGAAGAAACTTTCCAACTTTGCAGTAGGAAGAGGATCTGGAAGCTTTTGGAAAAGTGAATGGCAGCATTGTTTGTAATAGCGAAAAATTGGAAACACCTTTTCTCTAGGGTACATCCATGCCATGGAATACTATGCAGCAATTACAAACAAGGAAGTAGAACTGTGTGTACAATAGGGAACAGTGCTCAAGATATTTTGTTAAGGGGAAAAAAGTTGTAGAACCGTATATACAGGAAGCCACTCGTCAAAAATAATGTATATGGACACGTAGTATTGTAACAGTATGGGGACTGCTAGGGATGGGGATGGGCAAGGAGAACTTGAGTTTCATCGCTATTGTTTGAATTTTTCTTACAAATACATACTTTCTGAATCTACTGTGGTCAGTAGGGAGCCTGAGAGGCCTTGGCATCAGTCTCAAAGAAGATGAGGGACCCGGCTCAAACTCCGTGTAACAGCCAGTCACTTGGCTACTCTGTATCTCCTTGTCACCGCCTGTAAAACAGGTTAATAATAGTATCAAATGCCTGAGATTGTTGTGAGGATAACTTCTTGACTCCATGGTAAATGCTCAAAAAATATTGACCATTAATAGGATTATTTTTATTGTTGCCCTCCTCCTGTTGCCTCATTAAAGCAGGGTCTTTGGTTTGTCCATGATTGTATCCTCAGTCTCCAAACCAGTGCCTAGGACATTGTAGGTGCTTAAAACAATTTGTCAAATGAATGAATAACCAACGATTCCCTAGTCATCCCCCAACTACCTCACCTCCTCCCCCCAATCTCTCTCCTTCGCTTGGTCTTCTCCCCCTGGAGTCATTACCCCTCATCACTTGGCCCAGGTCTGACCCTCCCACTTCAGTGCCTTCTCTTTCCTCTCTGAACCCAGGAAGCCTCCAGGGAAGTGATGAGCTGCCTCCCCCTGCTGCTGTTCTCAGCAGTGCAGCTCCCCGCTCTGCAGTGGAGTGGAAGGCAGGGATGCCTACAACTGCCCCTCTGGCAGAGGCTCAAGGAAAACCGTGGAGCTCAGAGGCAAAGGGGTTCACCCCACTTCCTAGGATAGGCATACTGAGGTAGGGAGCTCCATAGTCACTCTAGTATTCCTTGGTCTGAGTAGCAAAGATACCTGCAAACACCCCCTCCAGCCAGTGGACGCCCAGGGGCACTGGCAGAGTTCTCCGACATTCTTCCCTATCGGG